AACAAAAGGACAGCAACTTGTCTGTTCCCCTTCCCCAATTCCCCAGCGCTGTTCCCATCCCCCCAATTCCCCAATAAAAATCTTTAAAAAAATAAAGTGGTTACCATCAGCATAATTTTAATACAGGTTTTTCCTTTCTTAAAATGTATATACTTTTTTTTGGCACCCTCGGTATATAAAAACTATCAGAAAGAACATGGCTTAAATATTTTGTGACTTAAAAAGGGTAGTCTGATCTTGAGCAGCTGGAGGAGGATAAAGAGAATCCATTTCACCTTGAGGCTGAGCACATTCTCCTGCAGGTGACACACGAGCCGTGTCATTGAACTCAGGGAAGGAAGTGTTGCCCTGATATGCTGTTGCGGCCGCTCTGCTGGGCTCAGTATTTACCTAGTTATGAGCTCACCAACACTATTGATTTGCAGCTTTCTGAAAAAGAACCTATAGGCAGAGTACAGAAGGATTAATTACGGCTACAAAACAGAATGTAAATATTATCGACCAAAAGACCAAAGCCAAAGTAGTAATGAATAGCTGTCTCTGGGAGTGAGACGGGAAAGGGTGGAGGGACTTTTACTTTTCATCCTTTCTAGTCATTTGTATATATTACTTAATTAAAAAAAATAACTGACCCTCAGAGAGTTCTGGATTTAGAAACAAAATCTCTTAGTTCAGGTGCCCAGTTTCAGGGCCTCCTCTGTTAACAGTGGGCAAGTCACATAGCCTCCGCAAAGCCTGTGTCCTCACGCATAATGATTCCAGCTACCCTGTGAGCCACACACCATTGTCAGGAGGATTCAGCTGGATAATATATGTGCAAGCTCTTTGTAAACTGCTCAGAACCAAACAAATGTTTGCTCTGCTTTATATTACTGTCAACTGTGTACTTTATTAGAGGGTGGGTATGTCTGTGTTATACTTGAGAAAGTTCGTATCATTTGAGTCACTTAAGTGATTTCAAATGGTCACAAGGAGGAGGAAGGACTAAATTTTCTAGCATCTCCCAATAAACTTTAATTAAAAAAATCTTTTTTCCTAGCATCTACTCCTTGGCCCACCCTGTTCTTAGTGCTTGACATGGAATGTGGTGTTGCTCCGATTTTCCCAGGAGATCCCTGATGCGAGGAGGAAGGACTGTAGGTCTCGGGGGCTGCTGGTAGAAAAAAGATGTGACCCTTACGTTCTACTCTATAGTATGCCTTGTTTGTCGTAATTTAACAGAATTTAACGTTGCTGTTTAGTCCAGTTCACCAGAAGATGCCCCTTTCCTCTGTGGTTTCACATTCCCTCTGCTGACCACTGGGGTTGATGGTAGGGGTGGGTGTCTCCCAATTTGTAAAACATTTGACTGATATTTGGATGACCGTAAGTAATGCTCAGAACATTATGACATAGGTAATAAGAATTTTGCTCAACTAAGTTTCAAAGCGATGCAGCAATTTGCCCAAGGTCACCTAGCGGGTAAGTAAAGGAACTGCATTTCACCCAAAGTTGGTTGGACCTCAAAGCACTTGCTTTTGCTCAGCCCTGCCTTTAGAGGCAGAAACCTAAATTAGCCTTTTCTAGGGTTCTTTTTTATGTGCGTGGAAAACTGAATGCAAACATTGACTTTCTCCTAGTTTTGGTCCTTATTCACTGACGGTTTTGTCTCTGTTTTCAGCCAAAGCTCCAAACAAACCTATTCAGGTAGTTTATGTGCCCTCACATCTGTTTCACATGCTATTTGAGTTGTTCAAGGTAAGTGGAATTGAGCAACATGGAAAGAAGTCTTTATTTTAAATTACTTTGATTCAGGGCATAATGGATTCATTAGATTAGCATAAGAAAAAGGTTTTGCATAGCCATTTAAAAAATTCTAGTTCTGATATCCTGTGGGCTTTATAATTTGTACACTGTGAAATGAAAAATTGTGGTGTACAGTATAGTTTGTGTGAATATTAGTACATATTGATTTTGAACCTTAATTGTCCCTTAGTGATTTTATGTAAAATCCATACTGTTTTTTGCTTCAGTTATGAGATTAGAGATGCTTTTTAATTTTCAAACTGGGCAAAGGCTTTATTGCTGGTAGCCAGATCAAAATAAAAACATGTTTATGCATAGTTAGGCCTGTGAACATTAAGTATTGGTGTATTAGCAGTTATTCTAGTCCTGAAAGCTACTGTAACCCTTTTACATATTTGAGACAATTCAGAAGATCTGACAGAGGCAGAGGAGATAGGTGTGGAAGAGCTGGACCAAGAAGGACTACCCCCCCAAAAAAGAATCTTTAGACTCTTTACAGCTTAAGCTGTTGCTTTTGTTAGCCAGTAGCGAATGGCATTTCCAATAGCAAGATTACAGGCACAAGGCGTTTGAGCTCAAATTTCATTTCTTCCAATGTGTGAAACCCTAAATTGAACACCTGAAAATCAGTTATGCTGATTTGCTTCCCCAAATTATACTGTTACTGATGTAACACTTGAAGGCTGAGATGGGCATTCAATTGTGAACTTCTCTTCAACAGCTGTGGCTCTTTCAGAATTTCTTTTTAACTGACATTTCTTCCACTTTTCTTCAGCCAAATGATTAATTTTTGTGGGAAGCATGAATCCCCTGAGGTTTTCTGCCTTCTTTAGAGGAAAGGTGCTCCGTCAATGCAGACTGATAAATAGAGTTTAAAGCGCCTCAGTGAGGCTCTGCAGCCTCATTCCGTGTAATGAAAACATTCCTCTTGGGTGAAAGTTGAATAATTTAAATACCCTACAGCGAAGCCAAAAGAATAAAAGGAAGGAAAGGAAAACAGATGTTTAGTCTGGTAGATGGGACTAAAACTAGATGAAAAACAAAATAAAGCATCAGGAAGTTTTTTCATGGTTTAAACACTCATTCAGCTAAGTTCTTTAGAGGGAGAAAATGCCATGTACATACAACGAATATTTGCCCCCCAGAAGAACTGTGTATAAGTAATCTTGTGCTCATTTCTTTTTTTTTTAAATTATGGTTTATGAGTCAGCGGTATGCTAAAAAACAAGGTCTTATTATTTCAGAATTCAATGAGAGCAACAGTTGAACTCTATGAAGATAAAAAACAGGCCTACCCGGCTGTTAAAACCCTTGTTACTCTGGGTAAAGAAGACTTGTCCATTAAGGTAACTGCTTTATTTACATGTATACTTTCATTATTAGTTACTTTAATAGTATCTAGACATTGAGGAATCAGAGGGAAGGGAAGAAAACTGATATTTATTGAGTGTCCTATTTGTAAGTACTGTATTAGATTCTTGGCTTAAATTACCTCATTTAGACTTCAAAAAAATAAAAATAAACTTCATTACTACCCCGTTTTCCAGGGAGCTAAGCAAGGTCTCAAACCCAAGCCTGTGGGGTCCCACGACACTCCTCTGCCTCCTTTTATTACACTGTTCACAAAGGAACCATATTTCATTAGGGGCTCAAAGCCCTTGTATGTTTTAGAGTAATCTGGTATGGATTTTATTTAATGAACTTGTTGCTTCCTACTAAATATAGAGTGAGGAGGACTTCTTATTATTCTTCCTCCCCTCCTTTTATACATTACAGATCAGTGACCTAGGTGGTGGCGTCCCCCTTCGAAAAATAGATCGCCTTTTTAACTACATGTATTCAACCGCGCCTAGACCAAGCCTGGAGCCTTCAAGGGCTGCTCCTCTGGTAAGCACCTTAAACTGCTGCTTAAGGAAAGACCATTTCTGTGAGCAGGGACTCCAGCAGAGCTGAGCACCAGCCTCGTTGAATGGAATGTTTCCTGAATGGTTTTGGAGGAGGGAGAATTTTGTGCCACTGCTACTTTCTTTGTGAATCCTTTGGACTTGGATTTCTTTTCTAATTTGTGTCTAAGAAACACTGAGAGCTCAGTGCCTCACTCCCAAATACAGAGAAAAGGAAAAGCATTGCCCTGTGGTTAAGACTGCTACGGGAGCACCATTCACTGCCTGGCGGGTGAGCAAAGGAACAGTGCAGCGTATGTGGCTGCAGGGTGGGCCTGGGCACTTTGGCACTGCATACCCTAGAGGGCCAAATCACCGCAGGCCTTTGAGCTTCCCTGCCAAATGTGTTTATATCATTAAAACGTTAAATTATGAACACATTCAATTTTTTATATTAAATGACATAAGCAGGAACATATAGGTGGTGGTTGCATTTTCAGAGCCCTTTCTGTCTCACTCTGGAAACAGCCTTCAGCCCTATTAAGGCAGTGAGAAAAGTTTCTGGTTACCATGGCAGCATTTAGATCCTGGTAGGGCCATACTTTCTTCCCCTGCTGAGTGTTTCTAATTGACAAACAACAGTTGAACCCTTTGTCATTAAACACAGCAATATATCTCTCAGTCTACAAAATGGTTCAAGGTATACATTAAGTTTCATTTTCAAGACCTACCTGACTGATAAGCACATAAGAAAGATTTTATTTTATTTGTATGAAAAAAAATCCAACACTTTTCATTTATTAGAGACAGAGTTTGTTAGCATGTTGAAAACAGAAAGGAAGTCACATACCTCATTTGAGAAAATTCATGAAAGATCATTTTTGAAAGGCATTGCCTTAACCAGGGTCTGGTACCTACTTAAATAAATGTCAAAAGGAAGAAGAAAAAAACACTACAAGTATATCTAGAGCCTTTCCCAGTTGTTTGAAAGGAATATGGATCATGTATTCCAGGTCTCAAAATAGCATTTGGGGTATAACTGTTATATCATAGTTGTTTGTTAACGAAAGTGAGCAATTGAAGTAAGAGACCTTAAAATTGTGTGTTCAACCATCCAATTTATAGATGAGAAAATAAGCTTAGTACCTTGCCCAAGGTCATTGAGCTCATTACGGAACAGCTAGCTAGCACTGGCTATGTCTTCGTTCTTTCCAGTGTACCATATGGCCTGTCCTTTTGAAAAAATGCTTCCACTAGCGTCTCTCCCAGTTAGTAAACTGCCCTTGGCTTTGAAGTGGGCACGTGGATGTGTACTGCTATAATAGAAAATATAATTTCCTCACCAAACACCTTACTGTATTACAGTTCTGTGCCTTGACACATGCATTTCTTTTTCAGAAATGTCCTCCTAGCCAACTCCTATTGATCCTTTGACACCCTGGGAAAACTTACCCGAACCTCACCAAATCTGAGTTAGAGGCTCCTCCTGTGCGTTCCGCAGGACTCTGGGCTTACCTGTCTCCTCACACTTAGTACTGCATCGGGCTTAGGTGTGCTTGGCTGTTCCTTGGTAGACCTGACAGCAGGTTCTGGGCCTTTCTCGAATGGAGGAGGCCAGTTTTCTTGGCCTCTTCCTGGAGTGTGCTGGTCTCTTTACTGTGGTGATCTCAGACACTGTTAGGGGTATCTTGTCTTTGCTTGCCCATATTCTGCCAGTCATAACACCCTTAAATGACAGGGTACACTCTGTCACACCCAGCCCTTTGAGTTAGGCCCTATCCTGAGGAAGGAATCTAGGAAAGATGGTAGAAAAGGGTAGTAATTCGTGTAACTTGGTAAAATGGCTGCACTGTAGTAGCCACAATAATAATTTCCATTTCTGTAGTTTTACTATGTCTTAGGCACTGTGCTAAGACTTTACACTTATTCTATCATTTAATCCTATAGCAGCTCTGAGGTAAGCTTTTGTTATATTTTCTGATGAGAAAAAAGTCTCAGAGAGGTTGAGTAAATTGCTCAGAGTTGCACAGAAAGTGGATTTCAATTTAGGTCTATCTGAGCCTAAAGCCCGTGTAACTGCCACTCTATGGTGCATCACCCTGCCTCCTCCTTCGTAAACCTTGGTGGTGGATTTAGTCAGAGGGGCCAAAGCTTGTGGTAAAGCATCTTCCCTTTTACTCCAGCGTTACTGAAATTAGTCTCCTTTGTTCTTACTCCTGTCAATACCTGAGACCTTTTTTGCCCCCCAACAACCTTTTGCTGACAGGGTTCTATGATATCGACATTTAGGCATACACTGGAATTGTTTTCTTGTCTCTAAAAATATATGGACTACCATATATCCCAAATCTTGTAGCATTTCCGGAAACCTAGGAAGTAGCCTCTCAGGAAATTTTCTTTTCAATGCATTATTGGCCTTGGTACTGGTAGATTTGCATTCCTGTGCTATTCAATTTAATTTTCACTTCACAGAGCAAGGGAATCTGATCATGGAATTTTGGAATGGTTTCGTTTTGTTGCCAGTTCAAATTCCACTTGATTTTGGGATTCGCTTTAAAAATGCTAAAAAAATGTGCTTTAAAGGGCTAAGAAAGCATTAGTCAAAATTGGGAGTATTTCTATTATTTTCCAAACATGTGAGAAGTGTTTTTGTAGAATGAAAATAGATTGTTTGCCATAGATGAGTATATACATGATTGTAAAGGTTGAATCAATCATTTATTTGCTTTAAATCTGAATCAAAAATTTATTTTAATCTTCTGAATGATTCTCATGCCATTTGTGCCTGTCTCACTGTATTCATTTTCTTTCCTCCATAGGCTGGATTTGGTTATGGCTTGCCAATTTCTCGTCTGTATGCTAGATATTTTCAAGGTGATCTAAAACTGTATTCTATGGAAGGAGTGGGTACAGATGCTGTCATTTATTTGAAGGTACTCATTTTATTTCTGTTAGTATGAAGGCATCTACTCTTTAAAACTATAAGTTCTAATAACTAATAGGTAATAGCACCATATATCATCTATCATCTCATATTCAGCTCAGATTTGCTTCAGTTTTATGTGAAAATCCACTCTTGATTTTGTGCTCAGATATAGCAAAATATGAAATGAAATGTGGAGATATAAAAAGTAAAATATTGATTTTTTAAAACCATAATTCTAAATTGTGCTTTTTAAAAAAAACTGCATATCTCTTGAAAGGACTAATATAAAAGGAGACGGAGTATCATAAATGGGAGTCTCTTAGTCTTTTGCTATAAAAACTTGCTGGCTTTCCCAAAGTTACAAGAATTCAGTAATCATAATATGGTTATATAAAAGGCTGATCTAATACCAAAGTTCTCTGTAACACGAGTTTTCTCATTCACGGGTGGGGTCAGACTTTTATGGATATTTAAACTCTAGAAATTTGGAGTATTTTTTGAATAGGTGATATGGGCACATCGTGCACAATTTTAAAGCGACAAAAGGGAAAAGTAAGTCTCTCCCACCACTGGCCCTGAACCACCCTGTTCTCTTTCCCAGAGTAGCCACAGGCACCAGTTGCTTGTGGATCCTCCTAGAGTTGGTTCTGTACTGACAAACATATGGGAAAAACCTATTTTTTTCCCACACAAACGATTATTTCAGCACTTTGATTTTTCTTTTAAATTTCCAATATACATTGAAGATTTTCCATATCCGTTCATGTAGAACTGGCCCATTCTTTTCACAGCTACATAGTGTGTTATATGTTAATATACATGTAAGGTGTTACACCATAACCAGTTATTTGGAGTGTTTATCTTAAATGCCAGTGGATCGAAATGGTGTGATAGTTGATAATCACTTTATGAGTTTATGTTTATAAATCTAGTATGTATGAAACTTTATTTCTTTCTGGGCCATTTGGGAGAGCAGTTGCCCAGTGAACAATAGTGCTTGGTCTAAGACCATATTGTCAAAAGTATTTCAAAGCAGTATTAACTGAATTAAAATGATTTTTGTCCTGGTCATGTGTACGTCAGTACTGGCTTTGAATGAGTGAATGTTTGTATTCCTTTCAAAAAGCTTTCATTTCATCCTGGCCAGTCTAAGTAAACTACAAAAATGTAATTTTAACATAATTCCAAAATATGTATTAAGGTTTCTAATGTTTTAAATAGTAAAATTTGCTTTAGTACTTTATGTGAGATGAATGACGATGCTGTGGCCCTCTGGTGTATATTTTTCCATTAGGCACTTTCAAGTGAATCATTCGAGAGACTTCCAGTTTTCAATAAGTCAGCATGGCGCCATTACAAGACCACACCTGAAGCCGACGATTGGAGTAACCCTAGCAGCGAGCCCAGGGACACTTCAAAATACAAGGCAAAACAGTAATGTGCCGCATTGCTTTATAGTCTAAAGTGTCTGATTTTCCCCCAGAATGTACCAGCCAGACAATTGATACTTCTAGCCAAATCTCTTTGTGGTTTTATCACTGGAAAAGCATAGTAATCCCTAAAGAAATATTGGAGTAGCTTCCTCACCCCAGATAGGAAGAAGAGCAAGAATCGGGTAGCCAGAGTAGCCGTTCAAATAGCGGTCCTGCTGTTCTAGGAGTCCTTGCAACTGTGGAGATATTAACAGCAGTGAGCGTAGTTTATCTTGCCATGAGTTATAAGTTATTTTAAAAGTAATTCAGTCGGCAATTTGTCATCATCCATAGAGACTGACAGAAAAAAATTGAGAGAAATTCTGTGTGTTCAAACTGAAAAAAATAAAGAAGTTAAAATGATCAGTCAAGATAAAGAAAATGTGATATATCCACACTGTGGAATATTATTCACCCTTTAAAAGAAATGAAGTTCTGACACATGCTATAATATGGATGAACCTGAAGTTATTATGTGAAATGAAATAAGCCAGATCCAAAAGGACAAATACTGTATGATCCCACTTACATGAGGTACCTAGAGCAGTCAAATTCATAGAAGTGGAAAGTAGAATGGTGGGTGCTAGGTGTTGGGGAAGGGGCAGTTGTTGTTTTAATGGGGAGAGAGTTTCAGTTGGAGAAGATGAGGAAGTTCTGGAGATTGATTGCACAGCAATGTGAATGCATTTAAAGCTACTTAAAAGTAATCTTTTTTTTTTTACCATCTTAACCAAATGGTAAATTTTATGTGTAGTTCACTACAAAAAAAAATTTTTTTTAAAGATTTTTATTGGGGAACTGGGGGGATGGGAACAGTGCTAGGGAATTGGGGGAAGGGGAACAGACAAGTTGCTGTCCTTTTGTTCTTCAGTCTAGTTGTGGAGGACGTTGCTTTACTGGCCCAAATTGGCACCATCATTGTGCTATTCCCGGGCGAGGCAGATCAGTTGCCGGCTTCTGGACGGCCGCTCACTGTGGCTGCTGGCCGCTCACGCTGGCTGCTGGCCACACACGGTAGCCCATGTCAACCCACTGCCACAGGGGCTGCAGCCTACGCCGTCGCCGGCGACTCACAGCAGCCCAGCTCCAGGTTGAGCTGTTGTTCAGCATCTTAGCTGTAGAGGGCAGTGTCACTGGCCCTCTTATGTGGGATCCGAACCGGGGCCCTCTGGTGTGCCAAGCCAGCTCTTAACCAACTTGCCACTCGGCCGGCCCGAAAATGATGAGTTTTTAAAATATCATTCCTTTGACAATTATTAGCTGGCATTCTCCTATAAAGTTCTTCTTATCAGCTAAGGCCATTTAGGTACCTTTTGAAGTACAGTTCCTCCTGGCAAGGCAGGAGAAGCGTTTAAATCTTTCCCTTTAATTACCCATTTTCGAGGCAAGAAGTTCAGTTAAAAGCCACCTTAAATAGTGACAAATAATGAGTTTCTGGCTTTCTCTGTTTTGAGCATTATTATGGATCTTATAAGTTTTTATTGCTTTGCTATGTTTCAGTCAGTACTTAACATACATACATATGCATAACATATTTAATATGTATATATTAAAGTATACACATCTTAAGTTATGGCTTGACCAATTTTTACATCTATATTTCCAGCACCCGAAAAGGCCCCTTTCTAATCAAACTCTTCTCACTCCGCCTCCCCACCATGTAACCATTATTCTGACTGTATTACCTGTCACTATATCTGACTCTGTCACTTCTTGAATCTACAACAAAAGGAACATACAGTGTGTATTCTTTTTGTGTCTGGCTTTCTGCGAGGTTCATCCATGCTATTGCACATAACAGCCATCTTTGTGATGCTTAAATTGGCACACCTTTGGCCAGTGGGATCTATTTTAAGCAGGATCCTCTGTGTTCCGTTGATAAACCCCAATCAACTTTGAAAAGTTCCTTGCCTTCTGGCCCAAGATAGTATACTAGGCTCATCTTATACCTTGCCTGCCTCAGTCCTAGAATCAACTATTTTCCTCAAGGATTCCCGCTTGCTTGTAATGGGTGTTAGAGACCATAATCTAGAAGTTAGGAGTGTAAATGTGCCTTTTCTAGGCTCCTTTTCTGGACAGAGCTAGTGTGTGTGTGTGTGTGTGTGTGTGTGTGTGTGTGTATGTGTGTATATATATATATATATATCTCATAAGTTCATATTGATATGTTTATTCAAATTTAGCATTGCAGTATTTCTCTTGAATATATTTTAATTGTATATATTTCTTCTTACCCTGAGAACCTTTTCTTAACATAATGCAAACAGAAAGGTATTTGTGTGCAAATGCAGTTTATATAGCTTTATAATTATGTACCATGATAGTAGCATTGGTCTTTTCTGATAAACGATATAGAGGGTATCTATACTAATGTATTATTTTTTCTGTGGAACTGTTGTGATGGACCTGTGTGCAATATTCCTGGACTGGTCACTCATCTCAAATGATGACATTTAGAGGAATTTGTTTTGTGCACGTGAGTGCAAGTATGCACACACACATACACACACACACCCCATCTCCAGCCAAGATTAAATCACCTTGAAACACCTGGATCAATTTCCCTTTTGGTCTGTATGTAAGTCAAGAAGCATGTTGGGCATCAATGTGACCAATTAATTCAAACAGTTGCTCCGATGGGGAGTTGTTTGGGTAGTACAGAAGCAGTTTTTAGACAAAATAAGGTCCATTTGAGTTGTAAAAAGATAGCTCTAACTGAATATTGTTTTAAAGGCAAGTTTTAAAATAAATAGTTTAGCAGGTTGTATACTAATTAAGTATGAGTATTAATTTCTAATATATTGTTAGACAAATATATTTTAGCAGAAAGCAATTTTTAAAATTCTAAAATGGTTAGCCTAATGATTAAAGTGGTCAAATTATGCAACTAGGATAATTGGTGTTGATCTTGGCAAAGTATTTAGTGGGTATGGTAAATTCACTAGGGAGATGAGAAATCATAAGAAATTTTATTCTCTAATTAGATTTTTAACAAGTTTTATTGAGATATAATTTACAAACAACAAAATTCACCCTTTGAAAGTGTACAATTCAGTGGTTTTTAGTATATTCACAGGGTTGTGTGGCCCGCACCACTATCTAATTTTAGAACATTTTCATCACCCCAGAAAGAAGCCCTGTACCCATTAGCCATCATTCCTCATTTCTAATTAGGTTTTTAACTGAGAATAAAGAACTGTTTGAAAGTATATATAAGTAATTAAATGGTAATTCTTTTTCTGTAATAACCAGAGAATAATTCATAGATAAGGCAAGGGTGTTTGAATTATCACTATAACTAAACGCTTTGAGTAAGTCTCGGTTACATAGAGAAGGTTGTACTCATAAGCTCACTATGGATATTCTCGTTATTTTCTTTGTAGAGACAAGATCAAGACTAATAGAACTTTCTAGAGAACTGAATGCTTTGGTCCTCTCTGTGAAGAAAGCTCGTCTTCCGCAAGTCAACCAGAAAGAGCTCCTTTCCTCCATCAACTCTGAGCGTGGCACCGTAGTTATTCCAGTGCTTGAAATGTGTATTGTCTCTGTACCACCTGGACCTTTCACAGAGAAACCTCCCTGTAGCTACTTCAGCTCTCTCACTAAAGTAGTAACTTGAATAATTGTTCATAGTATGTTGCTGTGATTTGGTTGGCGCCTGTCATAAGAGAGCACAGAGCCTCATTAGTGCTCTTGTGTCCTCATACCTCTCTCATTATCATAGAGTCGAGTGTCTACAGTGTCCTCAGGATTCTAAGCTCCCTCCCCATTGCAGATACAGCAGATCTCTACTGTTGCACTTTGTGACCAAATGCCATATTTGTCCCAAACCTGACTAAGGCCTGGGAATCTGGAAGCTGAAGACATCAGCTGAGCGTGTCTTGATAATTGAGTCCCAGGGCCCTCCCTCTCTCATATGCGTCCCTCCTTACTCTCTAATTGAGACATTTACCTTCTTCCATCTGATCGATCGTATTCTCATTGTGAGGGGTGGGTACTTGCACAGTAGATCTTACTCTTTGATGTGTTGGTTTTATTTTAAAATTCATTTGTATAGTTCCATTCTGTTGACTAAAGCATTCAAAAAGTTGTCTTGGAATTTTTCACTTAACTGCTTAGTCTCAAAGATCTTAAGTGAAAAACTACCTTCCGGTCACTTATCAAATTTGTAAAGAGTGGAAAGTGGAGTTTTTATGCTTATGTAAACATTTTACTAATGTAATACTGTACCTTTGTCATATTCTATTCCTTTGTACTTTTCTAAGGCATTGGAAATCCTCGTGTGATATACTTCACTAGTTGGAAAATAGACTATCGAAGGGAAAAGTGCTTTCTGGTTTCTTCTGGAAAACGCCCTAGGTCTTCTTCATTTTCATTTTCATGAATGTTAGCCAGTTTTGGAATTGCAGATCTGATTTTCACAATCCTTGCCTTTTTGCTGCAAGTTGGAGTTGGCAGAGGAATTATGGTGAGGAAAGAGGAGCCATTGTTTTTACCCTGGGAAATGGAAGCTGTCCGACAGTCCTCATTATAACCTGCAACTTCTGCAGCTCCACAGGGTGTGTTTGTCTTCGCTGTAATTTTTCATATATATCACCTACTTTGACTTCTGTCCTCTTCTAACTTCCATATCAATGTTCCCATCCAATTCTTAAGTATTGAGTGCATTGATTTAAGGATTATAACTTGTAAAGTATTCTTCCTCCTCGAGTCATCCACTAGTATCAGTGCAGCCGTCCCTACTGCTGTCACAGTGGGGAGTTTTCCCTGGGAGGAGTGGTGCCCTGACCAGCCAAGTGTGGCTTGATGGCAGCTCTGTTTCTCTTAGTTCCACTGAATCTGATTTTCTTTGATTTCAGTGTGTGGTAGTTCCCTTCATCTTTACAAAGAGCTCATCTCGTCTATCCTTAGAAGGATCTCATCAGAGAACTCATATCATCAGTCAGGTAAAAGAAAGGCCAATGTACTTTCAAGGTAGGGGTGATAAAATGGTCCATATGGAGACTGAGTCAGTGTCTTGGGGACAGGGCTGTCCCCTAAGATTATTTCCTTGCAGTGTAAAAGATGTAAAAATAATGGCTCTTTACATATAAAGATCCTGGCTTCCTTCTAAACATTAGATAATATATGAGAATCTTCTAGGTCTCCATTTCCAACCATACCCCTTTACACTTCCAAGTATGATACACTGTAGGGCAATGAAAGCAGATTCCCGAGTGTTTCCTCCTGCCTTGTTCTGGAGAAGTTTCACCGTGTGGATGAGGACTGCCGACTGATCGTTATGCCCTCACAGCAAGCTCCGTGCAAAGATTGGAGATGGGAAATACGGTGTGGGAAAATCCTCTCACCTTCCTCCCTTTATGGGTCCTTTTCCCAAAGGAAAGATTTCTTTCAGTGTTTTAGTGACTTCGTAGGCAGTCCATTACTAATATACTTTCTGCTATACTCATATCCATCTGACCATGGTGCAGTCTTGCCTCCTCTTTGTTTTCTGCATTGAGAATTTAACTTTGCTCCCAAAGCAACCATGAAAGAGTTCAAGAACACCTGGCATTCTCAGTTTTGTGGCCCCAAGTATGCATTTCTTCCTTTTTGTCGGCTCTACATGATTCTCTGAATTTAGGCGCCTCCTTCTGGCTGTTTGATGGGTTTGTCTCTAAGTAAATGGTCCCATTTCTGCATATAAGTTGTAATATAAATAGACATTGAGCCCTTTTCAGTAAAATTAATGTAGTTCTCCCAGTTCTTTTGTGTTTGCTTTTCATTGACTTGATTCTATTTTAAGTAATCTGGAGACTGTCTACTATTTGGAAAAGTGCCTGGCACATAGTAGGTGCTTAATAAATATTACTTGCATCAAAGAATGAAAATTGAGAGGCATTTACCTTTCATGGTAGGCAGCATCTTTCCAAGTTCTTAAACTTGTCTTTGTTTCCAAATTAAAAATCATTCCAGTCAGGGGCTGTAGAAGTACTGAATTTCCTTTTTATAGTGCTAAGTGATGACTTAAAATGTAGAGAAACGAAAGGAAGGAAGTTGGGATGGATCCACAGGAGCCTTCTGATCCTTTCTTTGTCTCTGAATATTTTATGACTCCTTAATAGAGTGGGTTCTTTCCATCCCACCCAAGTGACATGATATTATAGCCTTGCTTATAGATTCCAAAGAACTTTCACATACAGCATCCCATTTGAGCCTTACCATGCCGTGAGGTGGACCATGCAGGTACTATCTGTTTTCATCTGAGTCCCAAAGTAGTGCATGGTTTGCCAAGGCAGCATGGTAAGTGACTAGAAGAACCAAAGTGGGTAGTTGGGTCTTGTTGCTCCTAGGCCTGTGCTCTCAACAATGCACCAGGAATCAGCATTATCTCTTTTGAGGAATTTCTTGGGTATAGCAACAGCCCTCAGGGGTAAGATATAAATCACAATTTTTCTATAGTGCAAGAGAATTCCATTCAGGAGAGGTTATCCTTTGTGTGTTTTCATTTTGGCATGGTTAATTAGAGGAGATAATTGAACGGATTTGGCAACTTTTACCCAGGAAGACAGGCAACTTAAAGTGTATAGCTGTAGGTAATTACTGGAGTTATTTAGACTTAATTCTATGTTTGAATGAACTCAGTGCTCATTGCCAGCCCTTTCGTACAAAGACCCCACATTCGAGAGTTGATGCTTTTATCTTTTGCTAGACCGGGTTACAGCTTCAGTTGGATTTTCTTGCATATTTACAAATGCACCTCTGTTGCAGTTCCTTATGTTCAGTAACTTGGCTGGCTCTCAGATTCTTGGGTCACATCCTTTGTCCCTCAATTGTTTGCACACCTCACTTTATTATTTTCTAGTGTCTGGTGGTGCTGAGAGGGCTGAGTCCAGGCAGATCTTTCTTCCTCTTTGGTAGATGACCTGCTTGTTTGCCCTGGATACTTGAGATTTCTTGTTTATCCTTGAATTCAGTAACTTCATTTCGAGTGTATCTCAGAGTTAACAGTTGTCTGTTGGCTTTTTCTGGTTTGCCATGAACATTAGATATTGACATTTGGACCTTACCACATTTCTTATCAGTTTATTTGTTCTCTTCTTTGACAGTTTGTCCCGGTATTGGCTCTCTCTTATCTGCCCTTTACATTTGTCTGTCTTTCGATCGCTGTCATCTCCTTGTCTTTCTTCCTGCTGTGTGATTTCTTTCTCATCTCTACCCTTCCATGTCACTGGCTCCGTTTTCCATAGTGTTGATCCTCAGCCTTGATGCTTGCAATGTGGCTTTCATTTCTGTTACACCTTTAGTTTTTTTATCTGTTTCTTCCTTAGCTCTGCCAGCTTTTTTCTCTCATCATATTGTCCTCTTTGGCTCCTTATTTCATTTCTTTGGAAGCTGAACTATATTGTCTATATTTTCATGGTTTTCTGAAATCTGTTTGTCTTCTGCTTCTTTCATTGCTTTTCTTCTGTGCTGTTTTACTCTTTTATTGTTGTACAAGTATCACGATAGCCTTTTCTGCTTATTATTTGTCTTTGCATGGGACCAGTTCTGTTTGTCCAAGAGGAGTACAGATCCTCCTCGACCCCACCTTTTTCAGCTGAGCAGCATTTGAATGATCACCTTCACGCTTGAACTGTAAGGCTGATCTTGATGGATTATAATGGTGAGGCTGCTTGGTTTTTCGTTCTCCTCTCTGGGTATGGTGGAATAAGGAATGAAGCAGAGCCTCCTTGGGAAAGGCTGTCTCTGAGTGCCTTCCATGGACACTGTGGAATCTCTGCCCCGGGGCATCCGGGTCCCATTGGCAGAGGGCGATTCCCCCTGACTTTCCTTATGTCCCCTAGATGTCGTGCTAGCCGGAGTGTGGTGGGCTCGTACTTCTGCTCTGCTGAATTATATGTCCAGCAGGTCCTCGAATAATGTCATTTTGTTCAACGTCGTTTCGTTATAGTGTTGATGAGAGGCTGTAGGAACCTAACTTGTTTATATCAATTAGCCTATGGTAAAATTGGTTTTGAAGTCAAAGAAACTATTGCTGACATTGAGGACGTACTGTAGTCAGCATTTGTATGATCGGCTCCTGGATGGCTGTGTGTGTCTCCTCTGTACACAAATAGTGCGCCTGAGATCTCAACCTCCCGTCTTAGCTTTGCTTCTAGAAATGGGCCCACAGAGTGTGCACTCAGCCTCTCCCGACTGCCACCTGTCCTCGTTTCTCCAAGTTAAGGAGAAATGGTTGGTAGGGTCCTTTGGTTTGGAACGCTCTCATGAATAGCCAGCAACTGTGGCCTGCGTGGCAAATGCAAGAATCCTCCTTTCATTAGTCCCCAGTTTTGCTGTATCTGTGAGACACTCCCCTGGAGTCCTCGGTATGGGGTGGTGAGTTTTACTAGTTTCATTATAGACAGCTTCTCTTTCAGTTTTTGGATGCGGTGTGTACCGAAGGGCAGGGGCACTTACATAAACTTGCATTTATTCTACCATCTTCCCAGTGGCCCAGGTGCTTCAACATTAACTTTGAAGATAATGTCCTTCATAATCATAATCTATGTTAGTAAACAGAAGGACCCAATATTGCTAGCAGGAAAGAACTATTAATAACTTGATCAATACAGGACTTGTTTATTGTTCTATGTGGAAAGATAACTTTTAACTCAGGTTTTCATTCCATCGATTCGAGATATCAGTACCTACTGGTTTGAAAGTAAGAGGCATGTGACATTTTAATGAACGTAAGAAGTTATCAGCCACTGACAATTATTTATTAGTTAATTAAACATGATAGGATATTTCAAACTAGTACATTATCAGAGTTACCAGGAGAAGCATAAACAGTTTTTTATTAACAGGCTCCATCAAGCTGCCCCACTGAGGGTGGTAACCCTTGTGAGAGCTTTACTCTGAGACAGGTTTTCTCACCTGTCTTTTCAATCAACCCATTTAAAAATCTGGTTCATCAAGAAATAGAGAAGAGTTAAGTCCCCATCAGGATTATTTCTGTTGCTCATGTACACTGAGGTGGCTTGTAGGTCTGAGGCCTGTAGAAGCACACAAGGTCATGTTTTGAAAGTGTGCTGACAGGTGGATCACGGGTTGGGGGTTTTCTTTGGCCTGTTTGTAGGATTAAAGCCCCCTTTCCTCAGTGGCCCATGTATTCCTGGGCAGACTTTTCTCAACTTCAGGCCTAGCATAATGATCAAGGGGCATGAATGACCCCCCCGGCTCTGTACGCCACTCTGTGCAGTGCCTTCCGCTAACATCCCATTCGTTGCCCTGGTTCAGTCCTGGTATGAAATGGAGAATTGAATACGCGCTCACATGTAAGGGATGAAGGACGTGCAAGTGGTAGACAGGAGTCGTGTCAAGGAAAACCATGTTCATTCCTCCATTTAAATAATAGTATATGTGGTGTGCTAAAAACTGCTAAGTGCTGGGCATGTGGCCGTGAGCAAGGCAGATGGGAGTCCTTGCCTCGTGGCGCTCACCTTGTAGTAGGGGAGACAGATGAGACACAGAACAGGGGAAGCTTCTAGTTCACTAGGGAGAAAAGTAAAAGCAGGATACAGGAGGTTGAGGGGCGGGGGGCACCTACCCTGTAAATGTTTTCATCATGGACAGGTGGTTCCGTACATGAGGAGTGGTGATTCCCGAGTTCTTTCATCTTTGTATCTCTTCACCTAAATTTGGAGCCTGTCTTCCATGCCCGGTTCTGTGCATGGCTCTGCAGCTTCAGGTAGACAAAGTAGACAGCCCATTGCATCTTGTCTCGCTGACCAATAGGAAACCGTTGTCAGGTGAGAGGAGCCAGCTTTTACAATCAAATGTCATTGAATGGCGTGGACTGCTGGTTCCTCATAAGAAATGCAATTACAGCGGGTTCCAGATGTGTCTTTTGGGGACTTCAGAAATTATTACTGAAATAAAAACTTCCCACTCACAGCAGCATGCGAATGATGATGCTGGAGTTAAAATAGCTGCTTGTCACTTCCAAACTGCTGTTAGAGGTGGAGGGAAGGATTATCCAAGAAGGCTTCCCTCTCAAGCCCACAGGTTGGCATTAGCCGTGTTCATCCCTCAAAAATGAAGAAAATAAAATGACAACAATACTATGATCATAGAATCCTTGAGACACCTTTGTTTCTGCCTTCCACCTGTCTCTAAAACAGGGACATGAATTGCCCATGATCCCAGTGACAGGATCAGTGCCACCGAGACACGAGCTTCTACTTGTGTTGTGACACAGGTGGCTTTCTATGGCAGTCCTGGGGGGAACAGCAAAGCCGCAGTGGAGACTTCCAGTTCTCTGACACCTGCCTGTCTGGTCCCCTGCAGAGGGTAGAGCTGAGTGACAGACAGAGACAGGATGCTAGGATGTGTTTAATTATTCCCATTGGTAAAGCCAACTTGTCACCCTTTAAATGGACTTATTTGCATTTAAATGAAAGCACCTTAGGGCATCACTGCTGGAAGTCCCCAAACAAATGTCTGATATAGTTTAGTGCCTGCATTAAAAGAAAGGCCACCCCTTTCTTGCATTAACATCCTCCCAGTGTTAATAAATCCTTAGCGGCATTTGACTTCCTGACTCTTGAACTCTGCAACTCTGACTCTGCGTCCTCCTTCCTCAGGCGACTCTGCAGGGGCAGTGCACTTCCTGATTTGAAGTGGTGACTTGCGTGGAGTCTGCATAGATCTTGAAAATCTTAAGTATCAGAGCTTGATGTGTGGAGCCCCATGGTCCAGTTTGGACTATTGGGAATAATTTTGGGGGGGATCTTTTTTTTTAATGTTAGAGACTTGAGTGGTAGATTTGTGGAAATACTGGATCCAGGAAGCATACAGTTGAAAAGAGTATGAATTTAACCTGAAAATTTTTCTCTGTTCTAGAAATCTCTCCCTGACATTCGGATTAATCAAGCATAATTAAATGTAGTTAGATTTTTGTCAGATTGTAGCTCAAAATAATATTCTTCTTTAGAGATGCTAATATATTCTGTAGAAATTTTATTAAGCACTTTAGTTAAAAGCAAACACCAAGGAGAACAAAATCAGCCTCAGGAAGGTTAATTACTAAAAAAACACAAAGTATAGTAGATTATGTAAAAAATCATTTAAATTTTGAATACCGTGGCTTGAGCTTTAATTTACATAGAGAGGTATTTTGGATTTTTTTTCACATATTTTCCAAAAGTACAGAATTGCAGTTGCATTCTTTAAAAGTTCTAATCATTTTAGGATTCCATTAAGTTTGCTTAATTTTTACATGTTATAGTTTCCAAAAGTGAAGAATTACAGTTGTATTTCTTAAATTGCACCTAATTATTTTAGGATTCCACTAAGTTTGGTTTCAATTGTAAGAACTGTGTTTTTATTTCTGTATCTTTAAATAAGTGATCTTTTAAGAGACGTAGTAGGAGAGAGAATGTATGTAAAAGAGAATGTATGTGAAAGCATCCCGCCGTGCCTGGCCTTTCAATAAATGAAATGAAATTTTTAAAGAAAGGTAAAACCTAAGAGTTTAGATTATAATGAGAAATCTTTTTATTTTAGCAATTTCTTTAAAGGGAGAAGTAAAGAGATCAAATTGATTTTATATGTTATATTTTTTTGTACTCAAAGAATTACATGTTCACTGCCCTTGCATGTCTCAGGGAATAGCCTTTGATAAGAATCCCCGTGGAAATTTTTGAAACTCTGTCATGATGGGTTCAGATTTGATAGTTCTTGTCTAAATTTCTAGAGCTAGAGTTTCAAAACTATTGTCATCTCAGGAACACAAGATTACCCAAGAAACTTGAGCCTCGCCCTTATCACCACTCAGATTTTAAGTGCTTTAGGCTTTTTCATGATAAATGACACCCAAATGTGCTTTGTATACAAAGATCTCTTTCTCACGCTTATCTGAGATTTTCATAGAGAGAAAAACCCCACAGTTTGATTTTCTTTGGTAATTTTGCTTCTTGGCTTTTCAGTGAGGATTCTGTTTTCCATTGGAATTGAATCTTTTTGGGATAATAAAATTTCACTTACAAGAACACTCTATTAAATAATTCTAACTTTTGCCAACCTAAAAGTGGTCTACTAATTTGAATTCTGTGCATACCTTTTGCAAATGGGCTAAAATGGCACAAATGTCAGCGATCATATATACTCTAAGCAATATGTTTGCCCTACAGTTAGCAAAGGAATGTCTAACTCTGGCACTTATGACTGGTTTAACAGCTCTTCAATTCATCTTTGCCTTCCAAATTGGTTGAAAATGGCAAACTTAGAATGGAATACATATTAATAACAGAACTACTTAGTCTTTTAAATGTTCTTACCTTGAGATTCTTTTTGACAGAAAATGAAAAGAATCTTACCATTCAGTTGTAACTCTTTCAGCTCTTCATATATGCTAGGCATTAAAAAGGCCATTACAAAAGTTTAATCTGACTGGAAGTCAAAGTCATTCGCCATTTAGCCATGCTAAATGTAGTGTGACAAGCAGAGTTTGCCAAAACAGGTAGGATGTGTATAAAATGTTATATTGTTGTTTATAATATATCATGACACCCCTTTCTTATAAATTCCATTTTCTTTTTGTCATTTGAACTTTTATAACCATGGGAAACCTCAATCAGTATTTTAAAAGGCACCATATTTACATTTAGATCTGGTTTATGCCTTTATCTAGAAAACTGCTGAGGTTACTATCCCGCATGTTTAATTAGAACAAATGTTTTAGAATAATTACAGCAAAAGCCTATAATGATAGGGATCTGAAACCACTGGAGACTGCCTGCCATTGAAGAGGGACCAGGCTGAATGGCAGGCCTCGCAGCCTCACTTGCCAAGTGCTGGCAGGAAGCAGATTTTGCCTCACTGTTGTAACCAGCCTAAAAGGTAAAATAGAAGGGGCTTGCCAAGGTCCTGTATCTGCTCCCCATTTCTCTAGCTGCCTGTGTAACTCAATGGGGAAAACATCACATAAAGTTCTTTAGTTTCTTCTCACTTTTAAAAGTTCCTGTTACAGCTGGCATGTGAATTTGACCAACAAATTGTTTGTATACTTAAAATTCTTTTTTTAGACTAGACCAAACTCAATGTATCTTGACTCTGAGTAGATAGCCAAGGCAATGTTTACCTAGAAAATATTAAGTATTGAGTACTGAAAAAATGTAAGTTGACTATTCAGTGTTGGAAGAATCGAGTTAGATTGCCTCCGCCTCTGTTTCTGTTATGTTCGTTGTGACCATTACGCTCTCTTCTCATGCTGCGCCGCACTAGAATTGATTAAAAAACAGAGTTGTGCTTGAGTCCATTCTGCACAACATGACACAGGTTTCAGAAGAACGGAACATATCACTTGAGCATTCTTGCGAACCCTAATCTCTGCCGAGTTCTTGGTGTTACAGTCATCTGAGGTGGTAATTTCTGCTTCAGGCTTCTATACACATCATGCCATGTGTGCTCTGAGTTCACATCCTCACAAAAGTATACAAGTGCTGGCAACTTAAATATTTCCCAGATTTAAAATACAAGTTGTGAACACTTAAATGCTTGAACCAAATAAGAAGATTCAACACAGAGTAAAATATACCATTGTGAACATACCTAATGCTGTGTTTAAAGTTACTTGCTTGGCCAATTTTTCATTGTAATTCAACTTGTAAAAGCAGTGTCTAAACTGGGAATGATAGCTGATTTGACAAGAATATTTACTTCTATATGAAATACAATGTTCATCACAATGTTTGTACCCATAAGTCCAAATCTGACCTGGTTCGCTTTGTGCACCTGTCAGCATAGTTACAGTGATAAATGTACGTGAGTGTCCAGTGTTCATGAACTGTCTTGGTGGTGGAGTGAAGTCCGGCCCCATTGTGCTCTGTGCTATTCTGTGGCCTGTCTGGCACACACAGTCATGAGTGAAGGATGACATTGGTTTGCGGTAACTTGTTGCTCCACGTTCTGTGGAGAAAATTGTTCTGTTGTTGTGACTGTTGGAAAAACATGACCAGAGACGTGTGCGGCTCAAATAATGTTCCCCCATAAGTTGCAGAGCCATCTGTGGTGTGTGTCATAGCCAAACTAGTCCAGGAGCATGTGGACAATTCTGTACCACAATAATCAAACAATAAAATGGTAGTTGTGATTCACTGTGCTTCCGTGTGGTTTTTTCCTGAGCTCTGGTCAGTCGTCTCATCCCTTTCACCTGTAAGCATTGCCTTCTACTAGCTCGGTTTCTGAAATTCAATACATGAACAGCACCAAGCACCTTTGTAAGTTGCTGGGAATGGACAAAGACTGCTTGAATTCTTAAGATCGATTGAAGGAAAAATAGCTTATTTGGATTCTTTGTAGTAGCAGGGATCACGGAGCTCACCTTTTGCGGAGAACATCCTATTGGCAAAATAAAGGAGCTGCTTAACAGTAAGCTGTTATAGTGGTATTTTTTTTTTAAAGGCCATTTTTTTTTTAAGATTTTTGTTGGGGAATTGGGGGAAGGGGAACAGACAAGTTGCTGTCTTTTTGTTCTTCAGTCTAGTTGTGGAGGACGTTGCTTCACTGGCCCAAGTTGGCACCATCATTGCGCTCTTCCCGGGCGAGGCAGATCAGTCGCCAGCTTCTGGACGGCCGCTCACAGCGGCTGCTGGCCGCTCACGCTGGCTGCTGGCTACACACGGTAGCCCATGGCAACCCACTGCAACAGGGGCTGCAGCCTACGCCGTCGCCGGCGACTCATGGCAGCCCAGCTCCAGGTTGAGCTGTTGTTCAGCATCTTAGCTATAGAGGGCAGTGTCACTGGCCCTCATATGTGGGATCCGAACCGGGGCCCTCTGGCATCCCAAGCCAGTTCTTAACCATTGCACCACTTGGCCGGCCCTATAGTGGTATTTTTTGGAATATGGTTCATAGATGGGAGAAAGGGGACCATATAATGTCCAGGCCAGGGCACCTTTGACAGTGAGCATTTTCTGATGTAAACAGGCGTAAACCACACTGCCCCGGGCAAATTGGGTTTGACTAGCCATGACTACCTGCACCAGAATTATCTGTAATGCTGGTTACATGCGGAGTCCTGGGCTCTGCCTCAGCTCTACTGATTCCAATTCTCAGGGGTGGAGGCCTAGGAATCTGTATTTTAACAAATGCCCTAGGAGAATTCTTCAAACAGTGTTAAGTTGTAAACTGCTATATGGAATATGCAGAAAATAACTGGAAATGTTCAACTAAAGGGCTATTGGTTCCATGATCTATTCTGAGGAACTGGTGCAACTCTGCCACCTGTGCCTGCAAAGACATTTGGCTGCAGGTATGTACTTCCTGAATAACTAAGAGATGTAGTCTTCATGTTATTTTCCGATGTGTTATTCTTGTTATTCTTTTACTAAGCATTCAATGGTGAATGGGTCTTTTCTTAAATTTCAGTGCCACATAACGGCTATCTTGTGCATTTATCACTAAAAAACCAAACTTGGAGGGAATTTGAGGCAAGAAACTTGGGTTTGAATAATTCTTGGGGAGCGTTCATGTCAGCAACCCAGCATGTTTGCCTTGGTTCTGCTACCAGCTACCTGTTAGCTGCACCTTCATTTCCTTGTTGATAAAATGAGGGAGTTCGACTACGTGGTTCCCACGTGCTTTCCAGGTCTGATGTTTTATGGCACTCTTTAAAATCTAAAATGGCAAGCAATTACTAATCAGCTGCTTTCAAGTTGTGATATATTTGGCCTAAAGAATACAAAACCAGTGATTCTTGAAAGTAACAGTGGTTTTAGTTAGAATTTTAAAATTATCCATCTGTATTTTACCAAGAGCCAGCCACTGTACTAACACGTCATTTACTACTGGAGAACAGTATTTTTGGAGCAGCCACTCCTGACCTGTTTTGAAATTCATAAAGTAACTATGGTTTAGACTCACAGAGAGACCCTCCAACTCTAGAGTGTAAGGTTGCGTAAAGCTGCCGCAGAACATTTCACTTTAGTATATGTCTTTATTTCCTTGGCCCTCATTTCAGATTCTTTCCAGTGACTTGATAATGCATGTTTACAGATGATTATCTGCTGATATTTTCAGATATTTGCCTCATAATTACATAGAAATATATTCTTGGATCACAGTAATAAATCATAAGGCGTCGTGTAGGAGGGGCAGGAAGGGTTTGTGTAGACCACCATTTACCACCACTAGAACCCTGTGCTGATGAGAATGTTTCCTAGCGGTGCTGTCGAGTATGGCTGCCACTAGCCACCTGAACACTTAAAATGCGGCCACTTTAACTGAGGAACTGAATTTTTAATTTCATTTGTGTTCATTTAAATAGTCATCTGTGGCTAGTGGCCGTCATATTGGAAAGTGTAGCTATATACAGCCATTACATGCTATGGAAGCTTTTTTTTTTAAATTAACATTGAGCGCCCATTTTCACCAGTATTTGATTTAGCTGGGTCCTTAACAGTACCCTTGTCATTTCTAAATGTTGGTCTTAAATGAATCCTTTGCCCTCTGCCCATTGATGACACCTTCATCAACATAATAGTCTGTCTTGGGATAAGAACATAGCAGAATGATATTTAGACCTTTTCCTGTCATAGCGGCATGGCAGATCAATTCTTATCTTTGCAGTAAAAGGCATTGATTGTCAACCTCTTTGAATCCAGTTCTCTCAGAGGCTCACTTTGCTCTGTGAGTTAAAATATTACCTACAGCCCAGAGGGTCTCAAACTGGCCACATCAGAATCTCCCAAGTCCTGGGGTCCATTTCAGATCCATTCCATCAGACTGTCTCTGGGCAGTATTCTTTTTGAAAGAGTCCCCTAGGAGCTTGTATTGTGTGACAGGGTTGAAAACCACTGATTAAAGTCCAAACTACAGACCAGCCTCCGAGAACAGTTAGAATGCTAGCGGTAGCAAAGCCTGTTTCCCTGGCACAGAGCAGGCCTAGGATCCTTGCTATTTTATTGCCATTCTGTTTAACAGATAATTGGAAAATTCTTGAAAGAGAGAAAAGGCTTTGATTTGGATCAGGGGCAACTAAGCAGCCTCGCTGTTTCCTTTTGTGCAAGAAACTCTAAGCTAAGCTAATGCTACTCGTATTCGCTGGCATTCCCTGTCCAAACAGAATTTGCCAGTCCTCAAACATGCTAATGGTTTGGTTTCAGCAACAGTGATGGATGCAGCAGCTTTCCACAGTTCCTTATAACTGCTTAATATAATAGTGTAATTATTTCTGACGTTAGAGATGATTGTTGTCACCTTAGCACAATAATTGAAACAGAACTTCCATATGAAACTCTTTCCTAGGCCTTCAATTGGTAACGAAACAACAGTTTATGAGGGCAAATAATGCCCCATTGTTCAGGTGAGAGAGGCCTGTCAGCCACCCTGCAATAAAAAATCTAGGGTAAGATCTTGAATGCCCATCTCATCCATAAAACCGCTCTGTCAAATGGCAGAGTGCCCCACAGCTGTTAAGGTCTTCAAGGAAAGTGTTGGCTGACGCCTTATGATTTTGGTAGCTCGCCCAGGGTCTTACTGTTCACGGGCCTCACTCGGGCACGATATCGTCAGGCTCCCCCATTTAGCATTCTCAGCGTGGTTCCTGGTAAATAGCAGAGCTACTTTTAAAACTTGACTTTTCCGATTTTCCCCCAGTCTGAGGAAGAATTGGCAGTCTTTGCATTTTAGTAAGTTAAAGCAGCCCACCCCAAAGCGATGAAGGAAGTAATGTGAAATTAGCAAGTTAGGAAAATCCTCAAACTCTGTTTTGCAGAATCAGAAACATGGACTGTTCATCAAGAGTTCAGTCAAGTCCAAGGTCACGAGAGGCCCAAGCGGAGAGTCAAGCTACTGAACTGAAATTGGGGTGAGAGGCAGGAATTGTGTCCTCTTTATTCTTTGTATCACCAGCACCTAGTAGCTCACTCACATGTTTATTGAATACTTAAGACAGGAATGTTTGATGATAGACCTTAAGTTAAAATGCAGATCAAGGACCGCAATGGGAAAAGAAGTTACTTTAGTTCTTTTTTTTTTTTTTTTTTTTTTTTTTTTTTTTTTTAGCTGAGCAGTTGGCAGCTCAGCGGCTGCTCAGCTCGGGCCGGGCATGCGAACTGCTGTTGCTCAGAGCTTGCGCTCTTGAGCGAGCTCTTAACCAACTGAGCCACTCGGCCAGCCCTTGAAAAGAAGCTACTTTAGAAAGAAGCATGGAGTACCTTGATACTGGGTAGCTGGAAGAAAGACCCGACTTCAGCTGGCTGTGGTCAACATCCAAGGAGCAAAACAAAAACAAAATAAAAACAAAACAAAAATGGGGGAAGAATAGGTAGGAAACAGATTCTGCCCGATAGTCAGAAACTATATTCTTGGTTTTGTTTCAGCAGTAACAAGTCCAATGATCAAAGACTTCAGTTAGTGACCCTTCACTTCTTGTCTTCTTGGAAGAGCCAACTATGAATTGGAGGATATGTACAGAGAACGGGCAGGGGAGCTCTTAAACTTCCTTCTCCGCCAGCCATGGTTCTGTGTTGATGAGTTGAGAACCCAACACTTCCTGTCCTCATGGACCCATTAACATGTTCATTTGGGTCAGACATCTCCCATTATGCCTATTCCATGCTTCTCTTGTTGACGTTAAGACTCGAGAGAAACATTTAAGTAGGTTCATCACAAGCAGATGTAGGAATGTTTAAAAGAGGAACATAAATCTGTCTATCTGCATGAGACTTACTGTTCCTCAACTCTTTCAGGACCTGGAAAAAGGCTCAAGGGTTTATGACTACTGTGTTCAGTCATCTCATGGTAGACAGAGTAATGCCTGCCCCCGCAACCCAAATATGTCCACATCCTAATTCTCAGAACCTGGGAATATGTTGTATTACATGGCAAGAAGTAATGTTGCTGATGAAATTAAAATAGGAAGATTTTTCTGAATTATCCAGGTGGGCCCAATGTAATTACAAGGGTCATTATAAATAGAGGAGAGAGACAGAAGGAGTGTCAGAGTGATGTGATGTGAGAAAGACTGAGCGGGCCATTACTGGCTTTGAAGATGGAAGGGGTGGCCATGAGCCAAGGAATGCAGACAACCTCTAGAAGCTGGAAAAGGCAAGAAGACGGATTCTCCCCTAGAGCCCCCAGATGGGAGCGTAGCCCTGCTTACACCTTAATTTTAGCCCAGCAAGATCCATTTTGGACTTTTGGCCTCCAGAACTGTAAAATAATAAGTCTGTGTTGTTTTAAGCCACTAAATTTGTTACAGCAATTGGAAACTAATACACACCTATTCAATTTCTTTCATCTATTTAATCCCTGGGTACCAGATAGGAAACAAATACAAAAAGAATCAATGACCCAGTTGTGTTAAAGTTGATTTGTGGTCAGACTAGTAAATGGTATCTTACTAACATCTGTCCCGTGGAACATGATTACCAGACAAGAAGACTGGTTATCTCCTCAAGCTATGTAATGAGTCATGTCCTGCCATGTGCATGGGAGAAGATGACAGGTTTTTTTTTGAACTTGGAAATTTTAAAGTGACAAGTTCATTTGCAAGTATAATAAGATGAAGAGGTTCCCATGGAAAGGGTACAGTATCCCGGCTCTTTCAGGTATGGATTCATTAATTCTTTGAAAAGGGAAGGTTATATATCAAATATTTTAGTTGCATCTAATCCTTCCATCAGATCTCTGATTTTATGAAGAGTAGAGTAACCTTGTAGATCAATTCCTTTCCCTGCCCCCTAAGAAAGATAATGAAAGTAAGAAGAATAAAAATTGCGAGTGAGAGACAATACCAGCCAACCCTACTCTGGATAGTCTCCTCAAGTTTTGCACATTTGGTCAACTGCAGCTGAGATTCAGCTAATGTGGTGTTTTTTTTAGAATATAAATTTTGGCAGTGCAGAAGGGCCTAAAAGATCAATTAGCACCTACAGATATTTATGCTTTTAATATTTTCAGGTTTTGCTGGTTATTGATTTTTACTTGATGGTTTCTTAAAGAATTTGATTCCAGGGTATACTTGGGTGCTTAGAACTGTCACACTTTGTCTGAAAAGCATCTCGTGGCTTTTATCTAAACACGTGGCAGTGTTTTAATCTAATAGCTCCTGTTTAATATCCAGAGAAGTCACTTAAATATTCAACTCCAAGCTAATGAGAACTCCAAAATAAGAGGACCATGTGTGTAAACATTTTTGATAGTGTACCTTTTTATCCCAGGGGTTGTTTATTAACAAAGGCTACTTCTCTTTGGGGCAAATATCAGAGTTCTTAAGCATGAGTTTTGTTATGCCTTAGCACTGATTGTTTTCCCCATGAAAATATTTCTGCAGTATCATGGAAGTCAAGAAGAAACATGTAACTGTTACTCTAAATACAACCTGTCAAGAATGTGTTTGATCTGTGTGGCAAAGCCAAGTAATATGGTCTATGAATAACAGGTGTTCTGTTTTTAAATGAATTCCCTTGCTGACTACAGGCCTGGCTTTATTCTTCTAGTCTGGGCTAATGTTAGAACTGGTGTCATTTCAAAGAGCTAAACCTCACCAGGTGGAGCTTTAATAGAGGCTCCTAAATTCAGTAGCGGAGGGCATGAGAGCATTTCTCAGAACTTCGGCATCTGCCTTAATTGTTGACATTTGAGATCCCAATTTAGCGCCTCCACCCCCATCTATCAGCTTCCAGCTGATCAAAGGAGCTTTTCCTCAAAGATGGAAAAGTGGTCGAAATGGCCACTCCTCCACATTCATTCCCGGTGAAAAGCATTCGTCAGGTGTAAGAAAAGCGAGTGGAGCCTGCGATCCCATAGCCGCAGAGTGAAACGGGGGGCCACCAATGCTGGCAGTTGTGGAGACCCCAGGGGCCTCCTCTCCAGCTTCCACTCAGACAGGTAAGCACTTTCTCATGGTCACTCAGTGACATCACAGTTGGAGAAGCTTAGGGACAATGCAGACTGCCTCATAAATGTAGAGACCTGTACAGGCAAGGGAGACCTCAGAAACCATTTTCTCCAACCCCTCATTCTACAAAACCAGCCACCAATACCAGAGAAGGTAAGCGGTTTGGCCAACGTCACAAAGCAAGTTAGCCGGGGAGCCTACAACTCTGGATCCTGACTGGGCTCCCCAGGGGAACTCCCCTCCGGGCAGCTCTGTTCCCAACTAGCTTTTAAGTCAGGTGTGGGCCCTTTGGCAATTCCAAGACTCTGCCCCATGTCACACAGTGCAGAGTCCCATCCTTAAGGGACACAGCTGAGCAGGGCCGGCACAGCTGCCAGAAAACATATTTTTCCATGTTGAGCACACGTTTAAGAAACACAACCAGCAAAAGTGCAATTCTGCATCTTTTATTTATAAACAGGTTGGGAATGCTGTGTTCCGTTTGGGAGCAGGAGTGGGTTTGGAGCTGGGAGGGTGGGGGCAGGGATGAGGGCTGATTCCAGTAGTTTGCGTTATTCAGCACCAGAACAATTGCTTGGGCATAAGGTCGTGCTTTCACCCAGACGAGTTGTCATCTTATATGTACAGCATAGTCTTAAGTGTGTATGCTCTGCTTATGGCTTTGTCCCGGAACACATTTCAGTGACACAACAAAAAACTAAAGTCTAGAGAGAAGTAGAAGTTGCAAATGCCTCATGAGCTTATTCTCTTTTTAAAAAATTTGATGGTCAAGACTAGTGCCGAACAGATGCCCGAGGCACAGGAACGTCTCTGCTCCATTTGGGCTCATCTGACTCTGTTGAGTCTGTACCGTCATGGCGCACCTTGCCCTGGGGTACGGCTGCATGCTGAAATAAGGCCTGAAGATGGAGAGAAAACAAATCCGGCTCTTCCTGTCCCTCCCTTCAGGGACGGACTGACAGTAACGAGAGCCTAAGGCGTGGAGCAAGATTGAATCCCGCAGCTGTCTCTTCCCCCGCAGAGCAGGTCAGAAGGCAGACTTCAGTATCAGGGGCACTCTTCTTGCAGTTGGTTCCCTTTCCCTTTGTAAGGTCCTGGCACACGGGAGCTGGCTTCCCACAAACGGGCCATTCAGTGTGACAATGACATTACAAGTCCCCCATGGTTTTAGCTGGTGGAAGGGTGAACATTTGATTTCAGGGTCCCCGGGAGGAGAGGGTGGCAGCTGATGGAGAAGTGCTGAAATAGGGAAGCTAGGGGACGGAGGACCCACATCCACATGGGTACCCAGACTTTGGGTGTCTGTGAAAGGAAGTCTGCCTTCTTCACTTGTTAGGGCATGCGTGACACTTGAAAGGGAACGGAGAGTGACCACTCCCACTCTCACCCTCCTTCAGCCCCGTTTTTGCCCACCCTCATTGAACCTGCCTCCTTCCACAACCATAAGTGGTGTCCTCTCATCTTCAGTCTGAAGCTTCCGTCCCTTTCTAGGACAAAAGAATCTTTCCTTGCTTTTTGTCATTTCTGCTGACCTCCCCAAGCCTGCATCACACTTTCCATATCTCTCACTGCAGCCTTCACTCACTCTTGGCCATTACTGTTGACTGGCCGGCCCAAACAGAGCAACCCCATCTCTTGGGATTGGGGGTGGGGGGTGCTGAAAGAAACTGATGGCCAGGAAGCATCAAAAGTTGGGCTGCAGAACCCCCCCATTCCTTCTCAGAAGTCTTGTAGCCTTAGGAGGGTGGGGAAGTATTGTTAGAGGTGGGGTGGGGGGGACATAGGGTGAAATTTAGGACCTGCTTGTGGGTTGTTTTGGCCCATCTGTGGACTATCCCAGGCATTGGTCATTTTCCCTAATTGGCAGCTATGATGGCACTGAATCTGAGACGCATAAGTGGCACCTGTCAATATGGTGTACAGGGCCTACAAATGTATAATCAGCCTGATACATCAACTGCATGCTATTTGCTCTAGGGCAGGATTCAGGTGAAAGTGGATCTATCTGCTCTGGGCCATGGAGTAAGCACATAAAAGGCCTTTTCTCTCTCTCCGGGCACCCCTTTTCTCCTTGTTCTCACCACTTTGCCTTGCCCATCTGGTCTCATCCTTTCATTGCTTACAAGTGTCACCCAATAAGTGCCCAGTTTGCCCTAGGTGCATGATGGAAGAGAGAGACCAAATGGGCACAATGGAGGAAAGGGGCCTTGCTCTCTCTACAGAGCAATGCTCTAGGCCTTGACTGCAAAAGGTTTTCTTCTCACATGCCATGTTCCTGCCAGCTGTGTCCTGCACGAGTGCTCCGCAGAGTTCTGGAGGAAGTGCCAGGAACAAGGGGGTTCCAAGCCAGCTTAGCCTCATGGTTTTGCTTCCCAATGAACACCACTCATCTCCAGGTGGGCAGAGAGGTAGTTTGACCCCAACACAAGGGGGAAAGACATGCCACCTTCTTTTACTGGTTGCCCCACTTGTCACCCAGAAGGCTGGTCCCCAAGGCCTCTGAAAAGGGGTGTTTCTGTCACAAGAGATGCTGTGCTCTGCCCACAAGTTGCTGGTTCGGGCCTCTGCTCAGTTAGGCCCCAGCTCTGTCTCTGGATTTCCTGGGACAGCCAGGCCATGCCTCTTCTACCCAAGCGTGTGGTTATACACCTTGAATCTACCTGCTCACTTCCTACCTGTGATGAGGGGATGGTAACTTCAAACAACTCAGGAATGCTTATGGTCTGCATCCCATGTGGCAAACCTAGGGCCGGGATAACTACACTCCTTAGACCATTCAGATGCTGAGCGCAGAGCTCAGGTTCCCTTAGTGCTCTGTGAAACTCTTCAGAGCCTCCCTTCACCCAAAAATATGATGAGAGGCCACGAGGGCAACATACTAATTTCCTGGTTGGCACAAGCCTTCCTATAGGAATTCAGGATGAGCGTTTCACAAAGTTCCCAAGTCACAAGGGAACCAGGTAGTCCTTGAGACCAAGGATTTCAGCAGGGTTATTAGGGTGAGAGCAGGAGTATATTGTAAAATTCCACCACCGTATTTTCATATTGCATATGGTCTATACCCTGGATGGCATGTTTGGAGCATACATAGAAAAGAAAACGTGCAGGTAGCACCCCCTATTGGTATACTATGTGGTTTGGTACATCCAACTTTGACTTGAGGTCTAGGAGACTGTTAACTGGTCAGAAATGGGGAAAGCCATTCCATGATAGCATCCTTTAAGGAGAAGCTTCAGAAGATATTTACCATCTGCTAAACTTGGAGCCAAAGCAAAGCAGCTCCTCTTTTCTGTCTTTATATGGGATGTTTTGCTTTGTTGCATTTCCCACAGATTAAGGTAATTTGGGGAAAACAATGGAGTCAAACCACTGATGAAAAAGTACAACCAGGAGCACATTAGGCCTTATGGGATGCTCTCCTTGACAAAACTGTTGTTTGAATAAGAAGTCAAGGGTCATACTAGATGACCTTTTATCTTATCTGGCCTAAAGCAAGGCTGTCTATGTGCCATGTTTTTGGGACTGGAAAGAATTGATGCATTGCAACATCAGGTCTCAGTGGCTAAACTGAGAAGGTCGGAATTTGCCTCTAACTCAAACTATTTTTATTGGAAACAGCTTTGGCAGAGCTTGGGTGGCAGGAGGCAACGTGCAGGGCCCTTAGGAGCTGGAAGTAGCAGGTTGAGGGAACAGCCGCTTCCATAGGTGGTGTACTTGGTGGGGGTAGGTGTAAGGACCAAAGCAGAAGACACCCCACTTGGTGCAAGTCTTCGAGGGGTGCTCTGTGTCTTTCCTTAGCAAGGTTAAAGTAGAGTGCTTCTAGAAGATGCTAAGAAGGTTTGTATAGGTTGTCTGGCTAGAAACCTCCATGCAGAGCCCAAGTCTTGGGCTGAGTGGAGATGGAGGGAGAGCTGGTCCCAAGGCCTCCCCTTCGCAGAGCTCAGGGTCTCCCTGCTGAGCTGCAGCTCCTGCGACTGTCACCCTTCAGCCACCACCCAGGCATCCCCAGTGATCCCACCTTCCTCCCCAGCCTGTGTGGTGCGGCCCTTGTTGTCTGCCAGCTGCCTTTACTTCTCATCCTCATCCCCCTCACTCAGGCTGCTGATGGAGGCTGAGGCTGCTTTGGGCGAGGAGGGGGGTGAGGTTTTGATTGGGAGCCATGCAAAGGTGGGCGACGGGGAGCGGGAAGGGGACCGGCTCCTGGTGGGGCTGCTCACAGGGCTCTGCTTCGGGGACAAGGCCTGCAGCATCCGGCTACTCCTCTCCTGGAACATCTGCTTCTACAGAGAAATGGGAGAGAACGGATCTGTTAATGGGCCATCTGAGATGGCGGCGAAGCAGGACAGAGAGCCACCCCCACCCCGAGCACTTGTGCCCACAGACACAGACTTGTACTACAGCCCATGCTGTCCAAGACACACTGGGGAGGAGCTGAGTGCAACTCAGGTGCTGTGAGATATCCACACATGACGGTACCATCACTGCTGGTACTTGGCACCCTTTCCTTCGTGCCCTCTTTTCCTCTATCTACAAAATGTATGTCTGTTATTCGCCAGGCAAATAGTTAATGTCCTGGGAACTGGAAGGGTAGCAGGAAACCAAACAAAAATCCCTCTCCTCATGGATATAAGGAGGAACCACGCAATAAAGACAAGGAACAAAATATGTGGTATGTCAGGTGGAACAATAAAAAGAGACGGGGTGTGGGCCCGGGGACAGATGTGCTGTAATTGTAAATAGGGTGTGCAGGGAAGGCTGCACTGAGCAGGCGCTCTTTGAGCAAAGAGCTGAAAGAGATGGGGGAGGGGACCACGTGAATGGAAATGAGGGGGGGGAGCACATTTCAGAGGAGAAGCCCAAGAAAGGAGCATACAGTTCATGTCCAAGGAGTAGCAAGGGGGCCGTGGTGGCCGGAGTGGAGTCACCTGGGTGAGGAGGGGCATGTGGGGTCTTGGTGGCCATGTGAGAATTTTCACCTTCACTTGGGACAGTTCCTTTACCTCTGAGGTTCTGGCAGCTGTGCAAGGACGGGGGCAGTGAGGACAGCTGAGAGGCCACTGCAATAACAATCTAAGACTGATGGTGCCCTGGATGTTTTTTTCCATAGTTTTTATTAAGGTCTAATTTACTTAAAACTTTTTAGTGTACAGTTCTGTGAGTGTTGACAAATGCCTACAATTGTGTGATTACCACCACAAATTATAGGAATGTCCCATCAGCTGCCCAGTTCCCTCAGGACCCTTTCTAGTCACCCCTCCCTCAGGCCCTGGCAGCAGATATGGTTTCTAGCCCCACCGTTTTGCCTTTTCCAGAATGTCATTTAAAGGAAATCATGCAGTATGTGGTCTGGCTACATTTGGAGGGCAGAGCCAACAGGACTCGCTGACAGATGGGATGTGGGGTGTGTGAGGAGGAAGAGGAATTGAGTGACTCCAGTTTCTGGCCTGTGAAACTGGAAAGCCGGCCATGCCATTTCCTGGTGTGTGTGTGTGGGGGACTGTGGGGGTGGAGGAGGTTTGGGTGGTAAGATGGATTTCCAGTCTGAGACCTCAGGTGACTGTTGCTTGGTGCTTTCAGAACCAAGCCCTTCCCTGACACTGCCCTTCCACCTTCTGGGGGATCCCAGTCCTGGCCCCGAGCCCCTGGGCACCAGGCCTCCCAGAGCTGCCAGCCAATCAGACCTTGTGCTGTTTGCCTGCAGCACAGCAACACACCCCCACCCCGCCCCCCCGCCAGACACACACACACTATTCCACCCACTTCTGAGTGCCCTGCCTATGCTGCCGGGGCTCTCTGCTCTCATTTCTCTCCATTGCTCATCGCTGAGACTCAGCGCCCCAGCTCTGTCCAGTCTTTTGACCCTAAACTGACCCCGAGAGCCAATTCTCCTATTAGTCATTTTAGACTTTGTTGTTCGAGTTATTCATTTTATAAAGCACTACCGAACCCGCTGGGGACCAGGTGCTATACAGGAGGTGGTCATGTCCGAGCTGGGGCTTCAGTGATGCACAGGAAGAGGGATGTAGGTGGGGAAGGAACCTGTGGGCTATGGAGGGCTCTTGTCCAGGAGAGGGAGCTAAGTAGAGAGTACTAGTATACTTGGCGTGACCAGAGCCCCCAGCACCTGTTGGGTGGCAGTAGCCTGAGGCTGGAGTACCAGAAGGAGGCTGGATTTTTTCCCTCCAAAGGCTCCTGGAAGATTCGAATCAAGGGAGGGGTATGACCAGATGGGTGTTTGAGGAATATCTTTGGGTGTGAGCATAAAAGCAAGGAAAGAAACCATAAAGGAAAAAAAAATTGGTGTTTGGCTATGTAAAAATTTCTGTACCTCAAAAAAGCCACCATGAAATAGGTAAAAAGCAAAAGAAAAAAATGGGATTCTTTTTGCAGCATTTAACTACAAATTATGGATCTTAGTATATAAACAAAGCTTAAAAATTAAAAAGAATGTAAAAAAACCTTCATAGAAAAATGAGCATATGGCATATACAGTCAATTTACAAAAGACTTAAAAATGAGCCATAGAAAATGTTCGGCATTACTAGTAATCAAACAAATGCAAAATGGCAGAAGTGGGATGTTTTATATACCAGATTGCTAAAGATTTTTAATCCTCTCAACTTTAAAAAACATTTTTCCAGTTCTATTGAGATGTAATTGACTCATAGTGCTTTATAAGCTTAAGGTGTACAGCATACTGATTTGACTTACATGTATCGTGAAATGGTTACCACAGTAAGTTTAGTTAATATCCATCATCTCATATAGAGGGTGCCAAAAAATGTATACACATTTTAAGAAAGGAAAAAACTGTATTAAAATTGTAATACAATGAATGACACTAGCATTCATTTGATTAACGCCATCTTTTGAGCAAAAGTCATACTACACATTGCTACCATAATTCAATTCAACTTTGAAAAGCAATACATAGATAACATCTCTTAAAATATGTACATTTTTTGGCACCCCTGGCATATGCCAAAAAGAAGAAAAAAATTTCCTTGTGATGAGAACTCTTGGAATTTCCTCTCTTAAGAACTTCCATGTGTACCATACATCAGGGTTAACTATAGGCTTCGTGTTGTACATTACATCCCTAGTACTTATTTATCTTATAACTGGAAGTTTGTACCCTTTAGCTGCCTTCATCCAACTTCCCCTCCCCCTATGCCCTGCCTCTGGCAACCACAGATCTGATCTCTTTTTCTACAAGATTTTTCTTTTCCTTCCTTCCT